GATGCACAACGACAATATGTAAACAAACCCACCACTCTTTATAGTCTTTCTGATACATATTCATAAGATGGATGTGTTTTAGTCTGTGCAAGTGCAGTGGAATTTCTCAAATTTTCTCAACTTTTCTGGTGTTGTTGAGGGGGTTGTCTGGTGTTTTCCATTCTTTTCTGCATGCGCAATCCGGTGCTGCTAAGGGCTTCTGACAGGGGTTTTTCCAGTACTTTTCCACGTTCGCAATAACAGTCCATATGAATCTGTGTTTACTTGAAGAAAAAAAACCCTCCAAACCATTTTAACAATAAAAACCTGATAAATCTCTTTTAACTTATGTACATAGCAAAACCCCAGCAGCACCCATGCCTCTCATATTAAAGTTATTATATTTTTAACATCACTACCATATTCTTCACAACTCAATAACAAATGTAAAAGCAGGGGAATCTCAACTCAATGTTCACTACAAGGTTTGTTTGTTTGGTTTTTTGTTTGTTTGTGGTTTTTTTTAATAAATAAATTAATTAATAAAAGACCCAGAGATAATGGAGTTTCATGGTTGCAAACCAGGGGAAAATATTTACTTTAAAGCCATACAGCAATTCTAGAATCTATGATTTAATGAATAATTATTTTATTTTATTTTATTTTAATGGATGACTCTAGAAGTGATTGAAACTCATACAATCACTAAATATATAATTTCAGACATGATCTATGAACGTTTAAAGTGTATCTGTGCCTGTTCTGTTTTTCTGTTTACTGAATATATACAATTTTAGCATTTTTCTGTTTCTAGAGATAGGTTTCAATCTTTTCAGTTCAATACAGACTGTTACACAGGAAATAAAGAGATCATACTCTCCTATGAACATTTCTTCTGGTTTTGTTTTATTTCTCTCAGTATGTGAAATAAAAGATAGGTCTGACTGCAAGTCAATGGTTACTTTTTGACCAAGAATTCAAGAACACTAGACAAATCCTTTTCAGAGAGAAGAAAGTTTAAGCTGACAGATGGAAGGAAATTCAAACCATTAGTACACCACAATGAAGTTCTTCAGAAGACCTGTGCCCAAGTAATATACATTTGGGATTTAAGAAAACAAATCACAAGATCATTTAAATGGTTTCAAGTTAAAACAAAAATAAAATAAATAAAAAAAAAAATAATCAGTAAAAGCTTCCAGAAAAACACAAAGGAAAACCAAAAGGAAAGAGCATGATTCTGACTCTGTTTAATGACCAAAAGTCCCAGATATTCCTGATACTGCTCCTTTTCTACTGTAAACAAACCTTTTAACTTCTTAAAAAAAAAAAAAAAAGTTTCCACCTTTGTTAAACTATCCAGTTGGTGACATTTTAAATGAGCAGTTGCATTAGTATTTCCTAGAGAAGGCTGACTGCTTAAAATACCACTTCAAAATTTTCCCTATTTTTTGTGTGCTCTTCATATTCTTTGTTGTTTCCCCTCACTCACTTCCAGCAGTTTGTCCTTTCAGCTAACTGCTTCCTGATCAACACACAAAAATGAAACATGTCCCAAGTGAAATGCAAAATATCATGAAAGTCAACAAAATCAGATTTTCTTCTCTAAACTGAAAGATACATTTTCCTTATGGATTTATATTCCATGCTTATCTTTATCGAAATAAAATACTGTGTTTATGCATAAGCATCTGGCTGTGAAATATTTTGATACAATCAGTATTGAAACTGGTATTGCCATAAATGGATTAATGAAATAAAAAAATATTGGTCTGTTTTCAAATCACGAATTAGGAACAGTAGGTATTTTTAAAGGTATACAATAGCATTCTATTAACAAGAACAATTTACTTTAGCTTTCATCAGAGCAATATTTTAAATTCTATATAGATTTTATCTGAAGATTCCATGTGCTGGGTTTGTGTGGTGGGGTTTTTGGTAGTGGGAAAAGGAACTACAGCAGTGGCCCCTTGTGAGAAGCTTCTCGAAGATCCTCTGGCTCCAAATCAGACCCACCTCTGTTCAATGGTGCTGTGGATGCACCTCTACCATAACATATTTAAGAAGGTGAACCTGGGAGGAGGAGGTTGGAGCTGTGAGGAGGAGTTGCAAGGAAGACACCTATGTGAACATCAAGGTCAGTGGAAGAAAGAAGAAAGAAGGGAAGGGGTGTGCCAAACCAGAGACCCCCTCTGTATCCTGTGATAAGATAGCAGGCCACCCTCCCTGCCACCATGGACATCCATGGTGGAGCAGAGATCTGCCTGCTGCTTGTGGAGGACCCCACACTGAAGCAGTCAGCTGCACCTGAAAAAGGCCAGGACTTTATGGGAGGAAGAAGCACCCAGTGTTTTAGTTCGGCACTGAGAGGGCTGCAGCATGCAAAAGTGGCCCACACCAGAGCAACACAGGAATGGCTGCATCCCATAAGAAGTACTCATGACAGAGAAAGTATGTGGAGGACTGTCTCCCATGATAGGGACACCATGCTGGAGCAGGGAAGAATGCAAGGATTCCTACCCACTGAGGAGGAAGGTGTCAGGGACTGACCCCAGCCCCACTCACTTCCCCCTGCACAACTGGAGGGGGGAGGAAGTAGAGAAATCTGGAGCATAGCTGAGCCTAGGAAGTAGGGAGGGGTGGGGGGAAGGTGTTTTAAGATGTAATAAAGCTTCTCACTGTCCTACTCTGTTAAGTGTTGTTGTTGTCAGTGTTTGAATTAGTGATGTTTGTTTTCTTCCCCTAACAAATCTGTATTTTGCCCATGACCATAACGGATGAATCATTCCTCCCTACCCTTATATTGATTCTTGAGCCTTTTGCTTTATTTCTCCTTCCCAGCGCTTGGGGGAAAATGAGGGAGTGAGCAGCTGTGTGATGCTCAGTTGCGCTCTAGGCTCAAACTGTGACATCCCATCATGCTAATTATAAGCTGTGTTTTGACATTGAAGCACGGAAAGGCTAAATGTCAAAGCACATCAGCATCACAGACAAAAATGGAAGCCAAACATCCTGAGTCATGCAATACCAATGCTGCCACTTTTACAAGACCCTTTGAAGCCACACCACACTTGAATTTCTCATCTCTAGACTTACCAATGGAGAACAGTAGAAAGGAGATATTGTTTTCCACAATGTCTGATAGACAATTATACCTAATGAAAAACAAAGACATTTAGCAAGTTTTTTAAGTGTTCGAGGCTAAATCCCTCAGGTCTGGACAGTCAAATTAATACATGGCATTAGTTTTAATTACTCTAAAAGCAGGGTGAAGAAGCTCTAGCATGGGACAGAATCCCATGTGAGTTCTTGTACATCTTGTCCAGAAAATCATGTCATTTTATAAGAACTGCTCAGCCTGGTATAATTCTATGCTCAAACATCACACCATCATTTGGCTGGAGAGAACTCCAGCCAACAATACCAACCCTGAGTAGCTGACACAGGAATTGGATTTTCAAACAGTGCTAAACAGCAGATGTCCTCTGAAGTCAATAGCCCTAGGAAGACTAAGAAACTGATTCATGGAAAAAAGACTCTAAAACTAACTCGAATAGAATTTCTTTGGTGAGCTTTGCAATGCATTATAGCCAATTTTTTAGGTAGTTGCCCTGCTTCCAGGAGTTTGAGGATTTCTTTAGCATGCTTTATATTTTTTCCCCTTGCAGACAAGAGTCCTCCTTCTCTCCACACTGGCCCATGAGCATGGACCATTGCAAAAGCATATTTAGAGTCCATCCATATATTAATTTTCATACACTTGGCCATTTCCAGTGCCTGTGTTAGAGCTATTATTTCTGCCTTTTGTGCTGAGGTATATGGAGGAAGAGCTTTAGATTCTATTACCTGATCTTCAGTGGTTACCATGTATCCTGCCTTGCAGATACCTTGTCAAGTAAAACTACTTCCATCTGTATACCAGGATTCATCAGCATCCTCTAATGGCTCCTCCTGGAGGTCTGGCCAGCTGGAATAAGCTGCTTCGATTGTTTCCAGGTAGTTGTGTGTCACTCGTTCTCCTGTGTTTCCACTGAGAAAAGAAGCTGGGTTGACAATATTAGCAACCTCTATTTCTATATCATCCTGTGTCTGTGGCTATTAATAGATCATCTACATACTGCAGGACTTCCCCGATTTCATGTGGTCACTTCCATAGCTCCAGATCTTTAGATAGTTGGTTTCAGAAAAAAAAAAAAGAAAAAAAAAAAGTGGGGCTATTTTTAAATCCCTGGGGTAGCACAGTCCATGTTAATTGCATCTTCTTTGTGGAATCTCTGTTTTCTCATTCAAATGCAAAAAATAACTGAGTTTTGGAGCTCAAAGTCAATCAAAGGAATGTCCAGTACAGTGAACCTTGTCCCAGTAAGAGGTTTTGGTGAATTTGGCATATATAAAAACTTGTGTACTCCTAATTGCTTTCCTCATTTGAATTTTAAAGGTTTCAGAAAATACGCCTTTTAATTTTGGCCAGTAGCTCCTTTCACCATTATAAAATCATTGCCTAAGCGTGTTAAAGCTTCACGTAAAACCAAAAAATGTTGCTCCAGCATTAACCAAAAATTCTATATCATGCTGTTGTTGCTCCATGCTCCTTACAACCCAATCTCTATATGCATTTAGCAGTCTCATATGGGTTGCTCTGTTAGGGTCCCAGTATGGATCCTGTAAAGGGAAGTGATCTTTTATATCTTCATCTCTACCCCTAAGGTTATCAGCAGCCAGATCCTGGGCTGTTTTTAATATTAATTGTGTTTCAGTTTGTGTGATCCAATCCAGATCATTTTGTTTCATCAGAAACCAAAAATGCCTAGTCACCCTAACGGGTTTGTTTCAGTACCCCTTCGCTAGACTTTTCCAAGTTGCAAGATCAAACGAAGCGAACAAGACTTTTATTCCGACAGGGCCCCATCCAGCCCTATGGTCTCTCAGAGGAGCTGGCACCACCACTGCTTCTCCCATCTCTGTCTCCGATATGGGGCTGTGAGGGCAGGTAGCCCGGCTCTGGCTCCTACAAACTTTCACCCTCCTCTTTCTGGCTTCCTACTGGTGGTTTATAGTACTCTGGTAAATCCTTTATTTCAAACCCTTTATTTTTTTCCCTTCCTTCTTATTTTCTCTTTCCAGTGCCAGCACTAGTGGATCTTGTGGGGTGACAGGCCACAGTCTATCTGATATTCAAGATGGTCTCGGAGGGTGAAAAGCATGTCTGCATAGGAGACTTCATCCCACTTTCCTTCCCTCCTTAAAACCAGCATCAATTGCAGCAAGGTGTTATAACTTGAGGTCCCATTAAGGGGCCATTTCTCACGCTCATCCAACTTATATAGGAGCCACCACTGATTACACTGCATTAAGGTCTTTTCATTCCTTGTGTCTGGAGGTCCATCTATCTCCTTCCAGTGCAGCCCAGTGGGCTCTTTTTACCTATTCCCCCACTCTGGCCGCTTTCCATCTCATCTACTTGACCTTAACACACTAGCCGATTAAGCTGACAACATCCCCCTCAGGCAGATGGTACAAAGGTGCCCTCCCCACGCAGAGTATGCACCTAAATTCAAGACAACAATTAACACAGAAGTACTGCCTCCTGCAAGAGGAGATATTTCACCTGTGACACTTGAAACACTGAGCCCCAAAAACCAGCAGCACCAGTGACCCAGCTCTGCACTAAGGAATGTCACTCGTGCTACAGTACCCCCGTGGTACAGTCTGCCCTGTGCTTCGTTCCTCCCTGGCAGCTTCCCTGCCAGGATAATGGAACCGCGGGTCAGAGAACTCCGCAGTGCGCAGCTGTAGCTGGGCTGTGTCTCTTTTCTCACATGCGAAACAATCACACAACCACACAAAGAGGCCCCTTACGCTTATTACTCACACAACATAAAATGACAAATACTACAAACATCAAAACAACAATTACAACAGTTGCTAAATCATAAAAGTCATAAATCAAAGCCAAAAGCATAAATCATATACCATGAGCCATTTGCCATTTATCATTTACCACAAATCCACACCGGATCGATATCGACTAAATTATTATAAAAGGTACCAGATTTTACATTTGATGGTATCACGGCAATGCCACACCTCTCCTGTAACACCATACTAGGAGTTCCCAGGTCAACTCAGGATACCAATGTTGTCAGAGTGTCGAAACCACTCTGTCACCACGGGCCCACAACCACAAAACCACACTACCTGGGAACTCGCACCCCAAACCCAGGGGGAGCATAATGGCTCTTTACCTCACATAGGACGTCTCCTTATGACTTACAGGTCTCCCCTTTCTCCAACATACATGATCCGCAGCCAATGGATGGTCTTTGTCTGTCCCTGCAAAGATCGGCAGAGCGAGGGAGACTCTCTGAGAAAGAAGTCTCGGGGCACGCCTAGAGCATCCCCCTCTCAGCCAGTCCTGCAGCTGAACAGACAGGGTGTCATCTAGGGTGCCAAACTGATTTGCGGAAAAAAAGACTCTACAATTCGAATAGAGTTATAAAGCAGGTATGTTTACTCCAGCGCCGGGCTGCAAGGGGTTTCTCCACAAAGCTTGCACACCCACCCCACATTTTACCAAAAAATTACAGAGTGTGGATATCCATATTCATTGGATTACATAACACAAACATACAGATGCATGAGTAAGGCTGGGTTTAGTTGGAAAGGCTGGTGTCAACAGTTTATATTCTCTTTGCACCTGCACATTGCCTCCTGGTGAGCGTCTTGGGGGGGCTTTGGGAGGAAGGCTGAAAGTCTTTCTTACCTTGTTTTTTTTCCCTGGAGCATGCACAGATTCCCTTGGCCAATTTCTTGACTAACAGGAGTGTTTTTTAGCTGGTTTACTCATTCTATCTTATCCAAGAAAACCAATAGAACTTCTAATATTCCTCCATGGCTATATTTACTCATTAGCAAAATTTCAACTAGCGAGACTCATCTGTTCCTCAAGGGCAAAAGTATAATATTTTGTTGAACATTGTAATCCTTGGCAGATTTTCACAGTGAACTGCTTTGTTCTGATGAACACAGTAGTCCTTGGTAAGCTCCCACAGAACAGTCTGGGCAAGCAAGATCCTTAGTAATATTAAAAAATACTATAACTTGCTATAAGTAAGTAAATAAGTTGCTAAGCAGTTTTCTCTAAGTAAATAAGTAAGTAAATCTCAAAACAAGTAATTCTTTCTCTCAATTCTATCAAAACCCAACCCTCTGAACAGAGACATCTGCACTGATCCAAAACCCATAAAGGAATCTACAGAGGGACAGCACCATTCAACCAGAGAAAAGAAGTCCCTCTTTGCAGGGCCATGGTCATGCCTCCAATCATGTGTTTTCTTCCTGAAGCTGCCAGCAGAAAAAGTCATCTCATGATTAGGGTGAGAAGACAGGAAAATAGCAGTAGGGCAAACAGTAGAACAAATGGGAAGAAAATGTATTTTATTCACTCACCCTAGTGACCTCTAGGTGACTTCACTGGCATTAACACAGGCATTCAAATTTCCAGTGTTCACAAATTAACTCATTCATGACTAAAAATAAATTAAAAAAAAAAAAAAAAAAAAAAAAAAAAAAAAAAAAGAAAAGAGTCACTTCCTGACTTAAAAGTTGAAGGGGAATCTGCACTAACATCTTCTGATCCTCTCAAAGTGTCTGTTCCACCAGTTTGGGCTTCTTCAACCATCTTTTTTTTTTTTTTAAATTATTTGATGACAGAATTTGTTCTTGAATTTGACTCTTACTAATGTAAAATTTATTCCTTTTTCCTCCTATGAAAACTTACAGATGTAATCTAAAAAACTTTACCAAAAAATTAATTTATACTGCTTTGAACGTCACCTCAGATTTTTTGTTTTGTTATATCTCTTATTTCTAACTAAACTAGCTTCAGCATGAATGGAATGGGAAAGATTCCTGTAGCCTGAGAATAAAAATGTAGGGTTGTAGTGCAGATAATTCTTCTATTGATCCACAAAGCCACTTTCATTTATTTTCTGATTTTATAATATTAATCCTTCATATAGTAACAACAGTGACAGTGCAATTAAACTTTGTGATTGGAGAATGGTCTCCTACTATGAAAATAAATGTCTCAGTCTCACCTAAGAATTTATTTTATGTAACCTCATTTACAGTGCCTCAATATTTAGCTTGCTGTGAGACATCATTATACATTCACAGTGTTCAATTCCATTTGCCTCACTCCTCACTTATGACATCAACCAATCAGGCAGCTGAACTCTCTTTTCTTGGAAAACATCAATAAATTAAGACCTATTTTAGTTATAAAAGTACTGCCAGTTTTTCTTGACTGGAACATATAATAAGCTTTCCTCCTCCAAAATAATCTAGTTTGCGGAAGGAAAAAAAAAAAAAAAAATATATCAAAAAGGTGAGAGAGATTACATTAGTCTTTGTTAAAAGCAACATGAAAACATTGCAAATAAATAATCACACAGAAAATAATAAATAATCAGCCCTAGCATTTGCCCTAATATTTCATGTGACAATGATTTCTTTAGTTGGGATTATTCTTTTTAACCTATTCACTACTTTTCACCCAATACATAATTTTGTGCAATTCTTAAGAAAAGAGAAAATAGTTTCAGGATGCAGATACTCAGGAACTCATTCTCTCCCATTTGTCTATTATTAGATGGTTTAGGTACAAATAAATATTTATAGCATTAACTTAATATCTGAAACTGTGGTGATATGTCCCCATTCTCTAAGCAGAATTATCCAACATAATTTTAGATGTTATAGCTAGCTATATAACTGTCCAAGTGGAAAAATGTTTCCTCTGTGATAGCTAGTGGGCAATGAGTTAGAAATAGATATCACGTGATTGTTTCTGTATATTACTTTAACATTCACATTCAATGTCTCTACTTTGTTGCGTTCTGAGGATATGAATAAATCAGGTAATTTGCGATTTGTCTATACATTATTAATGTGTATAAGGGCTGAAAGGAATGTCCTATGAGGAGCAACTAGTGTGGAGGAAAGGAGGCTAAGGGGAGACTTCTTTACCATCTACAGCTTCCTGAGGAGGGGAAGTGGAGAGGGAGGTGCTGATCTCTTCTCCCTGGGATCCAGTGACAGGATGCCTGGGAATGGCTCAAATCTTCATCCATCAGGAAGGTTCAGACTTGAAATGAAGAAGCATTTCTTGTATGGAAAGGTGGTCAGACACTGGAACAGGCTTCCTAGAGAGGTGATTGATACCCCAAGCCTGTCAGTTTTTAAGAGGTCTTTGGACAATGCTCTTAATAACATGCTTTAACTTTTTGTTAGCCATGAAGTGGTCAGGCAGTTGGACAAGATGGTCATTGCAGGTCACTTCCAACTGAAATAGTATAGTCTAATCTAGTCTAGTCTAGTCTGCAATTATATTGCATCCATTCCTATCTATGCCCTCTCATGACACAAAGTGATGAAAGAAAAAAAGGAAAAAGGGCTTAACAACTCAAAACTATAGTATCAAAAATTTCAAAATAACCAATGTGAAACCCCCTGCTCAGGAGCTGTCTGGGTCTAGTGGCAGTTTAGTTTTGGGCAGTGGAGCTCCCTCTCTTTAAGCAGTCCTTCCCTGGACATATACAGTAGTCTTTCAGGTTAGAAGTGCAGAGTAATAAAAATGAATAGCTGCTCTGTACGTTAAGTCCGATCAACACCAGAGACTGAACATTACTCTCAGTAGACTCCCGAATGCAGTCCATTTTAACAATATCTATGCATCTAGACTCCAGAATATTCAGTAGCTGTCACATCTGTGTTTAAAACAGTAAAAAAAAACCCCAAATCTCATCTTCTGTTTGTAATATATTTTCCTCAGTGGCCACCTAGTTATCAAATTAGTGAATCTATGTTGCCATTTTTTTAAATGAACAAATAATGCATTGTTTTAAGAACAATAGCGCAACCTATACATTCTCCAATCTGAGAGGGAAGACAGGAAGACAATCTAAGCATAAACATTCCTAACTGTGTACTTAGTTTGGGTTTGCTCTAAAAGTTGTGTTATTCTCTACAGAGATGCTATGAACTGCAGTGGTATAGGCCCTGCAAGGACCTGACACCACGCTGCCGTTGTCTCTCAACCACACTTGGAATGGGTGGGGCAGAGAGTAAAATACAAACCCCGGGGTTGAAATAAGGAAAAATTTAATACAACAGTGTAAAAATAATAATATAAATAACAACAAAAACAATAAGAGTAATCACAATGAACACAAAAAGAGATATACCACACAGAGTACAGGAAGTGAGGGTAATAACGACAAACACAAAATGTCCCCGCAGCTCTCCCACCCTTGGCGCCTGGACCCAATGTCAGCATGGTATTGAATAACCTGGCTAGAGCCCCTACCCACTTCTGGGGAAACTTAACACTATCCTAGCTGAATCAGGTCATAATCCACCCCTTTATTCTATACCATCTGCATCATGTCCAGCTGCCATTTAGCAGTTAACAATAACAAAACAACAATTAACAAACGCACAGCATAATTTATGGCATGTTCTCACCCAGAATCAAGTCCTCCTGTGGTACACATAAGACCTCTCCATGCTCCTGCATCACCCACCAGGTACACCAAGGTCCTTGAACAAAATCAATCCCATGGATGGGTTTGCCTTTACCTTTGCCTGGTGCAGGACTAAACCAGACCATTTTTCCCAATATATTCTTCATGCGCACCACAGAGACTTTATCCCCATCTACAGCACGTGGAGGTTTTGACTGAGCTGGGCCAGCTCAACTGGCAGATCCTCTTGTGTTGACTAGCCAGGTGGCCTTTGCTAGATGCATGTCCCAGTCTTTGAAGGTCCCACCTCCCAGTGCTTTCAATGTGGTTTTTAACAGTCCATTGTAGCGCTCGATCTTCCCAGAGGCTGGTGCATGGTAGGGGATATGGTAGACCCACTCGATGCCGTGCCCTTCTGCCCAGGCATTTATGAGCTTGTTTTGGAAGTGTGTTACGATGTCTGTCTCAATTCTCTCGGGTGGCACGTCAACACAGGGCTTGGGTTTCAAGGCCCAGGATGCTGTTTCGGGCGGTGGCATGGGGTGCTGGGTAAGTTTCCAGCCATCCAGTGGTTGCTTCCACCATTGCGAGCACGTGACATTTACTTTGGCAGGTCTGTGGCAGTGTGGTGTAGTCGATCTGCCAGACCTCTTCATATCTTTATTTCAACCATTGCTCTCCATTTTGCTGGGGCTACAACCACTTGGTTTGTTTGATTGCAGCACACATCTCACATATGTGGATGATCTCTGCAATGGTGTCAATAGTGAGGTCCACCCCTCGATCTCGAGCCCACCTATATGTTGCATCTCTATATTGGTGGCCTGAGGTCTCATAGGCCCACCAGGCTATGAACAGTTCACCTTTGTGCTGCCAGTCCAAGTCCACCTGAGCCACTCTAATCTTAGCAGCTTGATCTGCCTGCTGGTTGTGTTGATGTTCATCAGTGGCCTGACTCTTGGGTAAATGGGAATCCACATGGTCACATTCACAAGGAGGTTTTCAACATGGGCTGCAATTTCCTGCTATACTTCATCCGCCCAGATGGATTTACCCTTACGTTGCTATTTGTTCTGCTTCCATTGCTGCAACCATTTCCACAGGGTATTCGCCACTGCCCACGAGTCGGTGTAGAGGTATAGCCTCGGACACTTTTCCTGCTCAGCAATATCCAAAGAAAGCTGGATGGCTTTCACCTCTGCCAAATGGCTCGATTCACCCTGTTACTCAGCAGCTTCAGTGACCCATCATGTGGGACTCCACACGAGAGCCTTCCATCATCGATGTTTTCCCACAATTCAACAAGACCCATCAGTGAACAGGGCATAGCGCTTCTCCTCATCCAGCAGCTCGTTATATGGTGGGGCCTCCTTAGCACATGTCACCCCCTGTTCTGGTGACATCCCAGAATCTTTGCTCCCTGGCCAGTTTGTAATCACCTTTAGTATCCCTGGGCGGCTGGGGTTCCCTAGTGGACCCCATTCTGTCATCAACACAACCCATTTACTCCACGTGGCATCGGTTGCATGATGCATGGAGGAAGCCATTCCTTTGAACATCCACCCCAGCACCGGCAGTCGGGGTGACAGGAGAGCTGTGTTTCAGTGCCGACCACTTCTGAGGCAGCCCAAACTCCTTCGTATGCTGCCAGTATCTTTTTATCCGTTGGTGTATAAGTAGCTTCAGAGCCTTTGAATCCCCGGCTCCAAAAGCCTAGAGGTCTGTCTTGGGTTTCCCCAGGTGCTCTCTGCCAGAGGCTTCAGGTAGGGCCATTGTGGGTGTGTATGCCGGGTCGCAAACCATCTGCGTCACTGACAATGTAAAAATGTCATCAGCATTCAAGTTAGAAGATTAACAACGGGTCTAGATTAACGATGGCTGAAAGTGAAATAATTTTTACTCATTAGGAAAGAAATAGATAAGAATGGAATCCGTAGAATAACAAAGCAGAAATTTATCTACCAGTTATGGAGGCTTAGTTGCGCTTGTTGAAAGTGCTGAGAGGAACGAGTTTTTGAAATGAGCAGGCGCCAGAGCAACACATGGATTTTCTGTCACAGGAATATATAAGAGCTTGTTTTTCTAATAAAGATCGGAGCTTGACTGTTAACCATATTGATGTGTGTCTTATCTCACAGCCTCGTCCTGCCAATAAGGGGGTTCCTGCTACAGGCTATTCTCCCCGGCTGTAGTGTAGAGAATGTTCTTAACCGCCTGCCCTTCCCGGACTGGCCTGAGGGCTACTGCTTGGGCAATCTCCCACTTAATTTGTTCAAATGATTGTTGTTGCTCAGGGCCCCATTCAAAATAGTTCTTCTTACGAGTTACGTGGTAGAGAGGGCTCACAATCAGGCTGTAGTTCAGGATGTGCATCCTCCAGAACCCCACAGTGCCCAGGAAAGACTGAGTCTACTTTTTAGAGGTTGGTGGGGCCATGTCTGTTATCTTATTACCTCCACTGCGATGTGGTGATTCCCATCTTGCCATTTCATTCCTAGGAATTCAATTTCCCTTTCAGGGCCCTTAACTTTCTTTTGCATAATAGCAAATTTGGCCTTCAGGACGATTGCAATAATCTTCTTCCCTTTCTCAAAGACTTCCTCGGCTGTGTCCCCCCATACAATGATGTCATCAATATAGGGCAGGTGTTCTGGAGCCCCACCTTTCTCCAGTGCAGTATGGACCAGTCCATGGCAAATAGTGGAGATGTGGTTCCACCCCTGGGGCAATAGATTCCAGGTGTACTGGATGCCTCTCCAAGTGGAACGTAAACTGTGACCTGCACTCTGGCGTTATGGGCATGGAGAAGAACGCGTTAGGAATGTCAATTGTGGCGTACCACTTGGCTGCCTTCGACTCCAGTTCGTACTGGGTCTCTAGCATGTCTGGCACTGCAGCACTCCTTGCTGGCGTAACTTCATTCAGGCCACGGTAGTCCACAGTTAGCCTCCATTCACCATTAGGCTTTCTCACTGGCCATATAGGGCTGATGATGGGTGGGTGAGTTTTGCTGATAATCTTTTAGCTTTCTAGTTGATGGATCAGCTGATGGATGGGGACCAGGGAATCTCGGTTGGTGCGGTACTGCCAACGGTGCACCATCCTGGTAGCAATCAGCACTCGCTGCTCCTCAACCTTAAGCCGCCCCGCCACTGAGGGATCCTCTGAGAGGCCGGGTAAGGTGGACAACTGTTCAACCTCCTCCAGGGCAGCCACACCAAAAGACCACCGGTACTTTCCTCGGTCTTTGAAGTACCCTCTCCTAAGATAGTCTATGCCCTGGATGCACGGGGCATCTGGGCCAGTCACAATGCGGTGCTTATGCCAGTCCTTCCCAGTCAGGCTCACTTCAGCTTCCAGTAGCGTTGGCTGTTGGCATGCCCCTGTCAATCCGGAGATGCAGATGGATTCAACCGCCACTGTAGCTCGATGGCATCAGGGTGAACTGTGTACCAGTGTCCATCAAAGATTTATATTCTTGTCGGTCTGACGTGCCAGGCCATCGGATGCACACTGTCTAGTAAATCCAATTATCCCTTTCCTCCACCCGGCAGGAGGCAGGGCCCCTCTAATCCTGCTCAGCAGCACTCACTCCTTGTAACAATGATTTACTGGTCCCCTCAAGAGGGTCAGACATAACGTTCACCATTCTATTCTGCCTGGGGGATTTCTGACTGGACACTGGAGCTGCATTTTTCTTCTAGGACTCCCCTTTCGTGATGGTCTTCCCTTTCAGCTGCTCTACTCATGCAGCTAGGGCGGCAGTGGGCTGTCCATCCCACCTCCTTATGTTTTCTCCATGGTCACGAAGGAAAAACCACAGGGTGCCTCGTGGTGTGTACCTTCCGTTGCCTTTCTCTTGTGTGGGGAAACGTTTACTTCTAATGGCTGAGACGTCAGCCCATGCAGGTGGAATGCAGCCATGTCTTCTTCCACTTTCAGGACCCTCTGAGACAGTTCCTCCACAGCTGAGACCAGGGAATGTTGAGATGAAGGGAGATTTTCCTCATATTGCTGGAGCTTGCCAACCACTCCATCCACTGTTAGAGTGTGGGTGTCTGTCCACCAAGACACTATTGCCAATGAGCGTGCTTCTGGTGTACTCTTCAGGAACTTTCGCCACATCAGGTGTGTGCAAGGGGCCTGATCTGGGTCCATGGGTGACTGCTCATCATTCAGATCACCATAAAGAACATCAAATCCAACCATTTTCCTGAGATTCTGGATGCCTTTCTCAATGTTGGTCCATTTGGTTAGCTGACATAGGATATCATCTTTGTAGGGGTGCCTCTCCCTTACACTGAGCAGGAGTCGCTTCCAAAGGCTGAGTGTTTGAATCTGTTTCCCTATTTCTCTATTAATGCCAGCATCCTTGACCAAAGATCCCAGCTGCTTGGACTCTCTCCACTCCATTTCAAAAGCACTGGCTCCATTGTCCCAGTATCGGAGCAGCGAGGTGCAAATTTGCTCACCTCCCAGGCGGACGAAATCTCTCTGCATATCTCACAACTCAGTCAGGGATGGAGATTGTACGATCACCTCTGACCCCTCCTCCTGTTCCTGTGCTTGGCCTGTCTCATCCCCATCCCCCACTTTGCAAGCTGACTTTTTGATGTATTTGGTTTTCTGTATCGGGCCAACACATACTCGTGCTGGCTATCCCTCTGGGCCAGCTGCTGCACTAGTGAGGGCAATTAATACCAGTACTGGCTATCTCTCTGGCTTGGCTGCTGTGATGGTGGAGGTGACTGATACTGGCTCTGTCTGTCCCCCAGATCAGCTTCTGTACAATCAATTCACTCTCAGATCCTGCAACCCTTTCTACCCCTTGAGTGCAGTGAGTGGTGTTAAAGAGGACATGGTAGTCATGGGCAAGTCCCCAACTCATCACAGTGAGTTGTGTCTCACAGTTTTTGTCAAGTTTGCAACACATCTTTTTTAAGCACTCCACCTATTTATCAAGGCTCTGCATTTTTTGGGGGTGAAATTCCAAAGCACTGGGGGTACCCACCAACTCAGGCCTTTGCCCATCTCTTCCACACACCTTGCCACTCACTATTATCTGACCTCAGGGCAGGTTTCTGGGCACTGCTATTGTTAGAGAAGTGCCGCATGGCCAAAAACAAGATCTGGCAGACACCCAGAAAGCACAATGCTGCAAACAGACTGGCCTGGATAGTCCAAATATAATTGAAACTCTCAAAAAAACGAGAGGATCTCTTCTCCTGGCTCACCCATAGAGTGGGTGAGACCCCTAACAAACGCCAGGGCAGCAAACAGGTACCAGCCTGCTCTCACCAGCAATACAAACATTTCATAAGCAGTCAGTAGCCAGGACAGCAAAACAAGCTCCTTTATACATTTTCCACTGACAACAAACATCAGCACTGAGAACACACAGTGGATATGAGGAATAATCCAGCCTCACCACGCAATCAAGTGCGCCAGCATTTCAAATTTTTCTTATCAAAAAATACAAATAAAAAGGAATAATTGCACCCAACAGATTGCTCCAACACACTCCGGTCAGGGTCTGTCCCCTTTTTGATTCTTATGTCAACCCTCTTGTTGCCCCATGTTGGGTTCTAAAAAGGCTGTGGTGGTTTAGGCCCTGACAGGACCAGTGACCATGTTGCCTTTGTCCCTCCCCCACCCTTGGACCAGTCGGGGCAAGGAGTGAGATACAAACCCCGGGGTTGAGATAAGGAAAAATTTAATACAACAGTGTAACTGTTAATAATCCAAACAACAACAAGAATAACAGCAATAACAATTAATAGATATACCGCATGCAGTACAGCAAGTGAAGGTACTGATGACAAACACAACACGTCCCCGCAGCTCTCCCACACTTGGGCACCCAGACCTGATGTCAGCATGGTACTGAATAACCTGGCTAGAGCCCCCTACCCACTGCTGGGGAAACTTAACCCTATCCTAGCTCAACCAGGACACAAACTTATAAAGAGCTGTAAAACTACTGGAGATTTGGGTAAAGTTTTTAAAGAATGAAGAGATATTGAGACAGGGAGTCTAAACAATCTTAGATTGTTGGTGCAAGGCCTGCGCAAAAACAAGGGGAGGCGTATGGACTGTTCGAAAAAGACATACCAAGTACTGATAACGTTGCTAGGTGATTAACTCCTAGCCCAATGAGAAGTCCCTCCTAGTCTTTGAAAAACAGACAACCCCAAAACATTGGTCTGGAAGAAAGCCAGAGAACAACTGAGGCTGCGCAGAGCGACAAGGAGAAAAGTTCATCAGCGAGGAAGAGGAGGAGACCTGATTACCATGAGAAGCGAGGGGAGGCGGGGGTAGACTATGTATATGTATAGGCGTTTTATGAATATGCACTATTTTGTAACATATAAGCTGGACAGGAGCTGCAGACGGTGCGCATGCTTGTGGTGGAGCGATCCCCCATGCGCCCAGCACTGAATAAACATACCCACTTTATAACCCCAAAAGGTATAGAGTGATTTCTCCGCAAAACATCTTGGCACCCCAGATGGGACCTATCTCTGCTCGGCTGCCGGGACACTGCTGGAGGGTGGACGTCCTAGGTGCACCCCGAGCTCTTCTCGGAGGAACTCCGCTCCCAGCTATCCACTGCGGGAGCAGACAAGGACCATCTGGTTCGTGGACAGAGGTATGTTTACAAGGGTAACGGGCTGCTGGTAAGACGCACAGAGACGTCTGGCGCACGGCTCAGTCCCGAGGAGGGGGTATACCCATTTGGTTTTGGCTTTGGGAATCCGCAGGAAAGTAAGATCTTTTGGGGCAAACTACTGATGACTGGTATATAAGAGGCAGTTTGCATTTGGGGCAGGGTAAAGGTAATTACCGTCACCTGCAGGATCTTGCTTCAGGTCATTGTAGAGTGCACTAATGGTGGACATACTGGCTTTGAACTGACTGCAAATTGTTAACGGTTTATGATATATGTTACAAACGGATTTGGTGATTGTTTAAACTTGGTATATTTTGTGGCATGAGTGAAAAGTGTGATGGGCCCTTTAAGTGTCTGTGTGCCGCTGTGTGAGCGAGAGCAGCCGCTGCTGTGTGTCTGTGTGCCTGCGTGCCCTGCCTGCAGGGGCAGGGTGTGAGTGAGACGCCGCTGCTGCTGTGTGAGTGAGAGGCAGCTGCTGCAAGATAAATAAGAAGTTTGTGAGAAGTTTATGTTTGTTTAAATAATACACTGTTCTTGTATGTCTTGTGAAAACATTGTATGAGCCGGAGATGGGAAAGTGAATCCCTTCTCTGTCGGTTTGGGTTAGACTTGGTTGGATTATTTGTGTAGAAGGAGTGAATGGTCGGCACGGGGAAATGCTTTATACCTGCTAGAAGGATTGTACACAGCTCCTTCTGGGTAACTGGTAGTACCAGATTGGGTTTGTGGGAGAATCCCCTGCTTTCTCTCTGCTCCTATGTTCCTACCTTTCGTAATTTTCATCAAGCTTGGGTATTAGCAGAGTGCGTAGATTGTCGATGTAAGTGGTATTATGAGTCTGATAAGAGGAGGTCGAGGTGTGCGGAGTGCTGAGAAGAAGCGGTGTCGTTAGACCTCTCGGTCGAAAGACAGGAGTTGATAAATATTGTGTGGAAGAAGTCATAAGATACCGGAACTTTTGGAAGTGAAGGAGGAAGAGTGGGAGAAGGTTGAAAGACAGTGTAGAAACTGCTATAAGTGGAGAGAAAGGATTTTGGAAATAAGCAGGGAAAAATTGTAAAAGAAAAGCCCATTGGATTGCATACTCATGCACTAGAAAGATATAGCCAGGAGAGGAAGTACGGAAAGCAAGAAAATCCTAATTAAATATTGTAACCAGTGGTGGCCACTTTACAAACTAGAAGCAGCAGCTAAATGGCCACTAAATGGGACCTTAGACCCTAACACACTTTTGCAATTAATATTATTTTTACAGAGGGAAGGGAAGTAGGATGAGGTGTCTTACGCAGACATGTTCTTTACCCTCCAAAATCACCCGGGGTGGCAGAGGGACTGTGGACTAGTTCCACCATAAGATCCTTTAGGGCTTGCCCTGGAAAAGATTATAAGGGAGCTACTAGCTACTATTTGTGCAAACCTTTGAAATATAAACTGAGAAAGCAGTTAGGCATACACAAATTTCTGTATATGCCTAACTCCACAAAAGCGCTCCTAGGAAGACATTTACTAGAACAATTAGGAGCAACTATTACCTTTAGCAATGGAGAGATTACTCTGGAGGTAAATGACCAAGAACTTATACAAATCATGAGCTTGTCCCTAACTAGTATCCCCACAAGAGGAGAAATCAGTGAGGAAATTATCAATCAAGTGTATCCCGGAGTGTGGGCCACTGACAGGCCTGGAAGGGCAAAGAATGCCTCACCTGTAGGGGTAAAACTTAAGGAAGGACAACAACCGGTAAGAATTAAGCAAAACCCTTTAAAAGGAAAATCAGGAAGAGATCCAGCCAGTTATAGAAAATTTTTACGAATAGGATTAATAAACAGATCTCCACTCAGTGGTAGCAAACCCATATACTTTGTAAACAAAATTAACTCCTGATCTAATCTAGTTTACCGTTTTAGACCTCAAGGATGCTTTCTTTTGCCTCCCTCTCCTCGAAGCCAGTCAGAAAATATTTGCATTTGAATGGGAAAATCCTAGGAGTGGGCGGAAGACCCAGTTAACCTGGACGGTGCTGCCACAAGGACTTAAGAACAGCCCCACTATATTCGGTAACCAGCTAGCAAAAGACCTCGAATTGTGGGAAGCCCCAACCCCACCCGAAGAGGGAAGGCTGCTGCAGTATGCAGATGACATCCTAATTGCCACCAAGACAAAAGAAACCTGTATGGCTTGGACGGTAAGCCTTTTAAATTTTTGGGGACTTCAGGGCTACCGAGTATCCAAGAAAAAGGCCCAGGTGATGCAATGTGAAATGATTTATGTGGGCTATGAAATCAATGCTGGAAAGAGAACTTTAGGACAAGCCCGGAAGGAGGCGATCTGCCAGACTCTGAGGCCACAGACAGTGAAAGAACTGCGAACATTCCTGGGAATGACTGGGTGGTGCAGATTATGGATTTATAATTATGGATTGCTTGTTAAACCTTTATATGCACTAACTGCACTCAACAGAAAAATCTCCAATGGAATAAGGAGGCCATATGAGCCTTTGACCTGTTAAAGGTTTAGGACTCCTAGATATAAGTAAGCCATTCTTTCTCTTTTCACATGAGAAACAGGGAATTGGATTGGGAATACTGGCACAAGACCTAGGCCTGTATCGTGAGGCAGTCGCCTATTTCTCCAAGCAACTAGATACAACTGCTAAAGGTTGGCCTGGATGCCTATGAGCGGTTGCAGCAGTGATCCTGATTCCAGTGTTTCTTGGGTGGTAGTAACAGCATACCCAGCATACCTCTTGCCGCTCAAAACATAGCTGCTCTCATCCGTAAACCAGTTCTCAGCATCTTCCAGAGGGGCATCCTTCAGGTCTGTGCGGCTTGAGTATGTTGCCTCGATGGTCTCCAGACAATCATGCTGTACAGGTTCTCCTGTGTTTCCACTCAGGAAAGAAGCTGGGTTAATAATGTTAGTTACTACAATCTCCACATCATCTTGTTCTACTAATTCAGCTTGATATTTTAAGAACCTTTGGGG